TCAACCCTATACATGTTCTTGGATACACTCCCCATTTCATAGACATGCCTACTAGTTCAGCCTGTCCACCCATCTATCCACCCATATACCCATGTTTCCCTTCACTGACAGTGCAGTATTGAATGTATGAAAGAGTTCATCTTTGTTTCCTGTACCTCCCATGTACCTCTCTATGTCTTTCTCTTCCTCAATGATCACTCACATTTGGTACATTGCTCTTCTCTTCACCCAAATCAATACTTATCTCTATCTATCTAACCGTGTTCCCTCCCCTCCCCTCCTACCCATGGCAGCCAACAAAGGAAATTTCCTTCCATAAATAAACCTTTCCTTGACTTTTACAATAATGTACTAATAGAATATTTGTCCTTTTGTGATTGACTTATTTCACTCAGTATAATGTCCTCCAAGTTCATTCACATTATGTGGTGTTTTGCAGATTCTACATTATTCTTTAGTGTTGCATAGTATTCCATTGTGTGTATGTACCATAGCTTGGTTGTCCATTCCTCAGTTGATGGACACCTAGGTTGTTTCCATCTTTTGGCTATTGTAAATAGTGCTGTGATGAACATGGGTGTGCATATATCTGTTCTTGTCATGGCTGGCACTGCTTTAGGATATATACCTAGTAATGGAATAGCTGGGTCAAATGGTATTTCTAGTTCCAACTTTTGAAGGAATCGCCATACTGTTTTCCACAATGGTTGTACCATTTTACAGTCCCACCAGCAGTGTATGAGAGTCCTGATCTCTCCACATCCTCTCCAGTATTTGTTATTTTATTTCTTGCTGAAGTTTTCTGCTAGTCCTAGGATAAGATGGTACCTCATGGTTGTTTTGATTTGCATCTCTGTAATAGCTAATGATCGTGAGCGTTTCTTCATATGTTTGTTGGCTGCTTCAGTATCCTCCTTGGTGAAGTGTCTATTCATGTCTTCTGCCCACTATTTAATTAGATTGTTTGTCTTTTTGTTCCTGAGGTATTGGAGTTTTCTATAAATTCTAGAGAGAAGTTCCTTGTCAGATATGTCATTACCAAATATTTTTTCCCAATCTGTAGGTTCTCTTTTGACTCTTTTGGAGAAGTCTTTGGAAGCACATAAGAATTTAATTTTTAGAAGGTCCCAATCATCTGGTTTCTCTTCTGCTGTTTGTACATTTTGAGTTATGGTTGATCTTTTATTTATGCCATATATTAGGGCCCCTATATTTTCCCCTAGTTTTTCCTTGAGGAGCTCTGTAGTTTTAGATTTCACATTTAAGTCTTTGTTCCATCTGGAGCTCATTTTTGTATATGGTGTGAGGTACAAATCTTGTTTCATTTTTCTGCAAATGGATATCTAGTTTTGCCAGGACCATTCATTAAACAAACATTCTCTTCCTCATTTAATGGATCTTGGGCCTTTGTCAAAGATCAGCTGACTGTAGGTTGATGGATCTATTTCTGGGTTCTCAATTTTATTCCTTTGGTCTATGTATCTGTCATTAAACCAATACCAGACAGTTTTGACTACTGTGGTGTATAGTAGGTTTTGAGATGTGGCAGGGTGAGACCTCCTACTTTGTTTTACTTCTTCAATAATACTTTGCTTATCTGAGGTCTCTTTCCTTTCCATATAAAGTTAGTGATTGGTTTTTCCATATCCCTAAAGAATGTTGATGGTGTCTGGATTCGGATTGCATTGAATGTATAGATTGCTTTGGGTAGAATTGACATTTTCACAATGTTCAGTCTTCTTATCCACGAGCATGGGATGTTCTTCCATTTATGTAGATCTCTTAAAACTACTCTTGAAGTAGTTTTTTATAGTTTTCTTTGTACAGGTCTTTTGTGTTCCTGGTACGATTTATTTCCAAGTAAGTTATTTTTTTGGTAGCTATTGTAAATGGTATTGATTTCCTTATTTCTTTTTCAGCAATCTCTTTGCTGGTGTAGAGGAATCCAACTGATCTTTGGATGTTGATCTTATATCCTGCCACAATGTTAATTCCCTCAATTAGTTCCAGTAGATTTTTGACTGAGTCTCCTGGGTTTTCTAGGTATTGGATCATATCATCAGCAAATAGGGATAGTTTGACTTCTTCCTTACCAATTTCGATGCCTTTGATTCCGCTAGAACTTCCAGTACAGTGTTGAATAGAAGTGGGGATGGTTTCAGTCTCTCTCCATTGAGAATAATATTGGCTGTTGGTTTTGCATAGATGCTTTTATTATGTTGATGAATGTCCCTTCTATTCCCATTTTGCTGAGAGTTTTGATCAGGAATGGGTGTTGGATTTTATCAAATGCCTTTTCTGCCTCAATTGATGTGATCATATGGTTCTATTTGCATGGTGGATGACATTTATTGTTTTTCTAATGTTGAACAATCCCTGCATACCTGATGTGAACCCCACTTGGTTGTAATGAATGATTTTCTTGGTAGGTTGTTGGAGTTGGTTCGGTAGGATTTTGTTGAAGATTTTTGCATCTATATTCATGAGTGATATTGGTCAGTAGTTTTCCTTTTGACTAATGTTTTTGCCTGGTTTTGGTATCAAGGTTATGCTTGCTTCATAAAATGAGTTAGGGAGGATTCCATCCTTTTCTTTGTTTTGGAATAGTTTGAGTAGTATTGGTATCAGTTCTTCTCTGAATGTTTGGTAGAAATCTCCGGTGAAACCGTCTGGGTCAGGACTTTTTTTAGTTGGTAATTTTTTGATGACCTGTTCAGTTTCTTCTTTTTCCATATCAATGTGTGTTAGTTTAGGTAAGTGCTGTGTTTCTAGAAATCTCTCCATTGCTTCCATATTTTCAAATTTGTTGGAGTACTGTTCTTCATAGTATCCTTTTTATTTCAGTTAGTTCTGTTGTGGTGTCACCCATTTCGTTTCTTACACATTTTATTTGTATTGTCTCCCTCTGTTCCTTTGTTAAATTTACCAGTGGTTTGTCAATTTTATTGACCTTTTCAAAAAACCAACTCTGGTCTTGTTGATTTTTTTCTATTGCCCTTCTAATTTCTGTTTCATTGATTTCTGCTTGAATGTTGATTATTTCCTTTCTTCTGGTGATTGTAGGCTTTTCTTGCTGTTCTTTTTCTAATTGTTGGAGATGTTGATTTAAAGTATTGATTTTGCCTCTTCTTTTTTGATGTGTGCAATTATTGCTATAAATTTGCCTCTGATTAGTGGTTTTGCTGTGTCCTAAAGATTTTGGTATGTTGTGTTTTCATTCTCATTTAAGGAATTTTTGAATTTCAATTTTGATTTCTTCTCTTACCAAGTCTTTCTCAAGGAGGATGTTGTTCAGTTTCCATGTGTTTACTCTTTTTCTGTTGATCTTCCTATTGTTGATTTCTAATTTGATAGCATTATGATCTGAGAAGATGCTTTGCAGTATTTCCACGTTTTTAAATTCATGAAGGCTTGCTTTGTGACGTAACATATCACCTATTATGGAAAATGTTCCATGTACACTGGAAAAGAAAGTGTGTTGTGCTGGTGCTGGGTCAAGGGCTCTATAGATGTCTATAAGGTCAAGTTGGTGGATTGTATTGTTTAGCTCTTCTGTATCTTTGTTGAGTTTCTTTCCAGTTGTTCTGTCTTTCAGTGAAAGTGGTATATTAGTCTCTCACTGTGATTGTGGAGTCATCTATTTGGCTTTTCAACTCTTTTAAATTCTGATTTATGTATTTGGGGCTGTTTCATTGGGTCTATAGAAATTTATTATGGTTATAGCTTCATGTTAAATTGATAATCATTATATAATGTCCTTACTTGCCTTGTATGGTGGTTTTTGTCTTAAAGTCAATTTGATAGAAATTAATATTGCCACTCCTGCTCTCTTATAGTTGCCATTTGCTTGGTAGATCTTTTTCCAGTCTTTGATTTTTAGTCTATTTTCGTCTTTATCTCTAAGATGTGTCTCTTGCAGGCACCATATTGATGGGAATTGTCTTCTTATCCAGTCTGCAACTCTCCATCTCTTGAATGGTCTACTTCATTCAGTGTAATTATTGACAAGTATGAATTGGTTGCTGTCATTTTGTTATGTATTTTTTCATGGTGTCCCTGGTTTCTTTGTTCCATATTATTTTCTGTGCTGAGCTCA